ATGTATGTTTTCTTTTGTGTATTTTTTTTTTTGTATAAAATAAAATATTAAAAAAAAAAAAAAGGGCCCCCCTTCTAGATCTTAACTGCCAAGTAGGTTCATACGGGTAGGTTCAAACAGATGAAAATCCTAATTGCTGTCCTATCAATTTCAATAAAATTCACTCCCAGTGTGGTGAAGAACAAATTTCAAGAGCTGAGAAACCAATTTTCCTTGTCCTGAAATAACTTCCAATGAAATCAATAGGATGTACATACAACACCCCCCCCCGCACCACAAGTACATTTCATTGCAGGAATGCTGTAGAACTGTGGCTTTTATTCATACACAGAGAATGAGAGACATTTCGAACAAAATAAATAGCAAAACAGTATAGTAAAAATATCTGCACTTTTAAAGGCATGACCACATTCAAATATGTCCTGTATTTATGGGGATAAAAGTCCAATATTTCTGAATTGAACATGTTTTCTGAGGTTGGTCCAGTGGCAGGAAAAACAACAATTCAGTGTCAAGTCAGTAGTGTTATCAGGAATATGCAAGGAGGAGGTAGGGTATACATTTTGATAAAATCTAACTTCACCCCATCAATTCTGAAGTTTAAAACTACTCAGACAACAGGAAGAAAAAGTTCCTTTTATTAAACATGTTATTATAGCTATCTGATGAAGGGTGCATGGGAACATCCCATATCTGTCTATTACAGGGTTCCCAATCTCTTTTTTGAGTCATGACCACCTTTTATAACAGCCAAGTAACCTGTAACCACCCCCATCATGTTTGCATAAACAGACATTTTTAATGAGGTGAAGTCATCCCTTCTCAGAAAGCAGAAGCTTCTTTCTCCTTCAAAGGGTCTTTTTCTCATATATACATACATACACACACATGCATACACATACATGCTAACTTTAATATCCTCCTATAAAAGGTCAAGGAAGAAATTATTAAACAAAGGCTACAACGCATATAAGGTGACCCATGACTCCCCTGCGAGTCATGACATCAAGGTTGGGAAATAGCGGTCCATAAGAAACAGTATTATGATTTTACTCATTCTTACAAGATGTAACCACTTTCAGCCTGTGACGTCTGATATGGTGGACAAAGTACATGATCGCATGTGCCACTTCCACTTCCCTTGACCCTTGCCCAGCCTGGCTAAGCAAAGCAGTCAGGCCTGTAACAACTGAATGGGCCACTGCAATAATTAATGGGTTTCTCCAGGAGGACAAGGTTCCTCTTGCCCTCAAGGAGACTCTCAATAGGCCCATTAGGAAGAAACCAAGTCTGGCAGGGGACGACACTGGCAATTATAGGCCTGTCGCCAATGTTTCTGGGCAAAGTGGTAGAGAGAGTGGTGGCTGACCAGTTCCAGGTTCTTTTGGATGAAACCAATGCCCTGGATCCCTTTCAGTCGGGCCTCAGCCCATGCCATGGGATGGAAACGGCATTGGTTGCCCTGGTTGATGACCTGTTGAGGGAGGCCAACGAGGGCAAAACATCTTTTTTGGTCCTCCTCGATATCTCAGCCGCATTTGATACCATTGACCACAGTATCCTCCTGGGGAGGCTCCCTGAGTTGGGAATCAGTGGTCCAGCGCTTGCTTGGCTCCGATCCTTCAGAGAGTACAGCTTGAGGAGAATATATCGGTCCTGTGCATTCTCAATTGTGGGGTTCTGCAGGGCTCGATTATCTCCTCAGTGCTGTTTAATATCTATATGAGGCCACTGGGTAGGATCATTAGGGGGTGTGGGGCTTCATGTCATCAGTACGGTGATGACACCCAGCTCTACATCTCCTTTTTTCCAACAACAGTGGATGCCTTTCTGCCGCTCCAGTGCTGCCTGGAGGCTGTACTGCAATGGATGCAGGAGAATGGACTGAGGCTGAACCCGGATAAGACGGGGGTCCTGAGGGTGGGTGGCCCTGCCGTCAGTGGTTTGGGAAACTCCCTCTCTTTGGGGCGAGTGACTCTCACCGCGAAGAGTGAGGTTCGCAGCTTGGGGGTCCATCTGGATCCAGCGCTCACCATGGAAACCCAGGTAGCATCAGTGGTCCACTCTGCCTATTTCTATCTCTGGTGGATTGCCCAGCAGCGTCCTTATCTTGATGTTGGGGCACTCACCACTCTGGTCCATGTGCTTGTAATCTCAAGATTAAACTACTATAATGTGCTATACGTGGGGCTACCTTTGAGATTGATGTGGAAGCTTCAAATGTTGCAGAATGTGGCAGCCAGGCTTTTCACTGGGGTGAGAAAATATCAGCATATCTCCCCTACTCTTGCCGCCCATTCATTTCCGCATTGATTTCAAAGTGTTAATGATGACATACAAAGCCCTAAACGGTTTAGGACCTTGATATCTAGCGGAACACCTCCTCCCACTTAGATCTACCCAAATCACTTGTTCTAGCCAGGAAGAGTGGCTGAAGGGCCTAACACTGAGGGAGGCCCGGAGAGACAGAACAAGAAACCCCAGTCTGCTCCCAGAGATCTGTCTGGCTCCATAGGCAGGCTTTCCCTCTGTCATTACTTGACTATTTTTTGCCATCTTGAACTATATTATTACTATTGTTTTTATTTTATTATATTGTTTTTACTTTTATCTGTTATTGTTAGCCACCTAGAGTAGACTTTGATCTAGATGGGTGGGGTATAAATTTAATAAATAAAATAAATAAATTCTTAAGTACTAGCACCTGCTGTGAATTCTTGCTCATCTACACCAGGAAACAGAAGCACTATTATAAACAAACATCAGTCCAAGCTTCTTTAATAAGAGAGGCCAGATAATAATCAATGCTTTGACGATTGGAATGTTTTTTCTGGAGATCGGAAGGAGTGTACAGTATTTAAAACTCTGAAATAGAGCAAGATACATTTTCGCACCACCCTGCACACTGTCATGCAGATTTGGGAGTACAGTAGTGCCTCGCTTAACTATTGCCTTGTTAAATGACAAAACCACTATACGATGACTGTTTTGAAATCACTTTTGCGATCGCAAAACAAGGTTTTAATAGGCAAAATTCGCTTCCCGATGATGAGTTCCCTGCTTCAGGAACCGATTTTTCGCTAGACAATGTTTTTAAAACAGCTGATCGGCAGCTTCAAACTGGCCGCCTGCTGTGTAAAATGGCTCCACGCTGTGTTTTTGGACGGATTCCTCGCTTTACAGGCACTGAAAATGGCCGCCCCTATGGAGGATCTTCGCTGGGCGGTGAGTTTTCAGCCCATTGGAACGCATTGAACGGGTTTTCAATGTGTTTCAATGGGATTTTTTATTTCGCTTAACGAGGATTTCGCTCTACAGCGATTTCGCTGGAACGAATTATCCTCATTAAGCGAGGCACCACTGTAATGGGGACATGAAACTCCACTATTTGCAAGGGAGATTGTAGAGCCCAGGCTTTACAAAATATGAAGAGGCAAAACACTGATATGTTGAGTCACTGACATATTAAAAGGGACTGAAGTGAATTCTGCCTATCAGCCTTGAAGTGTACCATAGTTACATATAAGGAGTTACTCAGGGAACAAAACAATTCAATTATTCAGAGTATTTTGCACCAACCTTTTCCAACATGGTATCTGCCAAAAGCATTGGGACTACAACTCTCAACATATAAATACTAATAAATAATAAAAATGTTTCTGCTACCTGGGGATGACGGGAGTTGCAGTCCAACACATCTGGAGAGCACTAGGATGGGAAAATATTCTTACAGAATTCTATGCATGCTGTTTTGCATTAAGGTAGTGTGGACTGAAGGCAATGATGCAAAGATAGGACAGCAGTACATGAGTGGGAAACACCAGGGTGACAAAGGTTACTATGGAAGTATGGCAGAGAGTTAGTGCTTGAGGCAGTGAAAGGTTGTCTGAAACCCCAAAGTGACATTGACCGTCACTGTTCATTCTCCTACACTAGTGCCTTCCAAATCTGTTGGACTACAACTCTCATCATTCCCACACTGAGCTAGATGTCAAGCGGTCCAACTTCATAACATGGAAGCTTCCTAGATTCCTACACATGATGGACATCTGAAAGCAATACGTGCTGGAGCAACAAAGAAGAAAGGTGAATAATGGTGGCAAAGGGAGTTTTATGTGCTTAGAGAGCTGCCTCAAACCACCATAATGCTTTCATTGATGCAGTACCACAATTCATTTCTTAAACAGTGCTTACCTAAAGAGCCAGTGCAGAGCAGTCCAGATCATTACTGGGGACTTAAACACAGATGTCCCAAATCAATCTACAGTGGTGCCTTGTAAGACGAGCACCCCATTTAACGATGAAATTGCATTATGATGATCGCAAAACAATGTTTCCTATGGGGGAATTTTGCTTTGCGATGATCGGTTCCCTGCTTTGGGAACCGATTCTCGCAAAATGACGATTTTCAGCCAGCTGATCGGCGGTTTCAAAATGGCTGCCAGGTTTAAAAAAATGACTCCCTGCTCCTTTCTGCGACGGATTCCTCGCTGCACGGGCAGCGAAAATGGCCGCGCTATGGAGGATCTTCGCTGGACGGTGAGTTTCAAGCCCAAAGGAACACATTAATTGGGTTTTTATGCGTTTCTATGGG